GTATCTTTTCATTGGCGTTGGCGGTCAGCATTTGGACGAGAGCATCAACCATCACTTGGCCCAGTCAGAGTTGTGGAAGAAGCTCACAATACAAAACAACACAATCACCAGTTGCAACATGAATACAGGTAATGGTGCGCATCATAAACATTCTGGGTCTGAAATACTTTCTACCAGCAGTAAACATTTGACCTGAAACTTTTATTTTTTATTTTTTTTTATTTAAGCTCATAATCTCTAATGTAATATTTGGAAGGGGTGCTGTTTAAACTTGTAGGTCTCACTCCTGTGATGGAGAGGTCGTCTCTCAGCAGCTCAGTCTCGAATCCCGCTGTGAAGGCTTCACCGCAGCTACATCACATAGCAGGGGGCGGGGATGCTACCACCAAAACTCAGACGCAACTACTTCAGCTGCCACCTCCGCTGGATCTCCCCTTGGTGCGTGAAGATGAGATAACCTTCTATTGGGAGTAAAAGATGGCTGCAAGAATAGTCTGTGTGCTTGAATAGTCTCAAGCACGCAGCCCTGGCTTTAAGCACAAAACTCCTCCCTACCACTCCTTTAAATGCTTTTGTTGCCAGGGGAAGCCAATCTGAAAAAAGTTGGTTTAGAGGGGAGCATGGTGAAGCCAAAGTGGTTTGTTTCAGAGAGAATAAACTGAAGTTCATCAAGGCTTAGTTTAAAATAAAACAATTGTTTTGCATGGTGAAACATGCAGTTACTCTACTACAGTCCAACAATAAAACTGTAACATTGAAGCATTGAAAATGAATAGAGTTTTCCAGTTAAAAGTTCAACATAATCTTGCTGTTCAAATTTGGTGTGTGCGTGCGTGTGCGTGTGTGTGTGTGTGAGTGAGCAATTTCTCACATCCGTTTACAGATTATGGTCAAATTTGGGGTTATTCCAGACCCCAAAAAAGCTGGAGTACCAAGAAGTCATTTTCCTTGTCCTCTTCTTTCAGCCTGGTCAGAATATAGATGTGTTCGTACCAGTGGCATGCCACCCTGGTTACTTTGTGCTGCAGGCTTGGCATGACCTGCATAAGCTGGTGGTGTTGATGGGGGAGATGATGCTTTATTACAACCAGACAGGGAAGACCAACCCAACCACCACCATCCAGAAAGGGCACATCTATGCTGCCAAAATAGACAAAAAGTAAGTCGACACATGGCTGCTAAAGGTCTGTCAGTTTTTCCCGAAATAAATCAACTACATTTATTCTCTCTCCTTCCCTAACACATTGTTGTCTTTGTAGCATATTTTTGAGACTCCAAAATTATAAAAGATATTCTTAAAGAATTCTTCTTTTATAAGTTTATATTAGGAGGAAAACCTTCAACTGCTTTGCTGTGTGATGCCAAGGTTCACAGTTTAAAATCAATAAGTTGCTATTGTGTCAGGGTCAATGGCTTAACCGATGTTTACCTGTATGTAGTTGGCACCGTGTGAAGGTGAAGGGGAGTCTTTCCAATGGCTTGGTGTCTGTCTACCAGCTGGACTACGGTAAGCATGAGCTGGTCCACAGTACGCTCATCAGGCCCTTAATAGAGGAGTTCAGACAGCTGCCCTTCCAGGCTATGACTGCACAACTGGCAGGTGAGTTATTGTCTTCATATAGCTTCACTGGTTTTTTACATATAGATAGATAGTAGGGGTGCAACGATACGCAAAATTCACAGTTCGGTTCGATACTTTGGTGTCACGGTTCGATATTTTTTCGACACAAAAAATGTTCATGCCTTTTTAATTTGTCATTCATTAAAATTATAAATATTTTTTAACTCAAAAGTAGTTTTTAAATTTAATGTTGCTGAAACAAAAAAATAAAAAAAATAAAATCTATCTGATCGAGAAATCACTCATCTTTGGAAAAGAGGGTTTATTACAGAGAAATGGCTCTTTCCAAAATAAAAGCTATACTATACGCTTCTTCTGGGCTATATTCTCAGCAGCATATTAAACATATCAGGTCCCCATAAGGAGAAGCATGTGCTAACGGCTGTCTAAATGACTCGGGTAAAGTTTGTAGCATGCGTGCTTATTGTTTTTGTCTGCTTCCACTTGTCTTTGCACTAGGATGATGTTGGCGTAAATGTGCAGTCATATTCATTGTGTTCCCACTAGTGCTGTCAGCGTTAATCTCGTTAAAATTACTTTAACGCCATAATGGCGCAAATCTCCATTAACGAGCTACCGCGGATCACCCCGTGTGTGGGGCTGGACGGCGTCAACACGTTAACGAGCTAACTGCGCTAACGCACTAGTTCCCACCAATGTAATTGAGCATTACGTGGCACATCCGACATACTGTTTTACTGTTGTCCATGGCGCGCTTACCTTCAGGGTCATGCTTCACATGAAAACCAAAATAGTTCCAAATGCCAGATATGAATGAGGGTGGGGGAGGTTCAATTTCGGGTAGCGTTGAGGCATTTGCCATGTTGCAGTGAGCTTAGCTTCTGTCTCGCTAGCACGCAGTGTAATAAATACAAAGAAAATTGTGGCAGTTTCAACTTATGTGACACACTCAACTCCAGGTACACGACGCACAGCTGAAAAAACTTCACGCAAGTAGAGTTGCCCGAGATTCACAGAATTTACAGAAAATGTAACATTTTTGTGATATATCTCGTTGTCAGGGCGATAAATGTCTTATCGGGATATGAGGTTTTGGTCATATCCCACAGCCCTAGGTACAATTATGTCTACTATTGGAATAGCAAAATTCTGTTTGAGGGTTAGCTACCATCTGAAACCTGGAGTGTCCTTCATGGGACTGCTTACCACTTGCAAAGAAGTGTTCAACAAGCAAATCTTGTTGCATGTGACTTAACTTGACAGCCCAACTTATAAATAAATTGATTGATTGATTACTAAGTACATTTTAAAAAGGTAAAAAGTAGAACAAACACAAAGAACAAAACAAAAACTGAGTCAGAATTAAAAGCTAGTGAGTAAAGATGTGTTTTCAGACAGGTTTTAAAGATGTCGAGTGTTGGAGAGATCTTAGTATGAAGAGGCAGACTGTTCCAAAGTTTGGCCTATTTTAGCCTGCTTCAAGGAAAATCAGAAGCAACTTACCAGCTGACTGAGTTCTATTTGGAGGTTTTGTTAGTTGAAAGATCAGAGAGGTGTGACGGAGATCATCCATCCATCCATCCATCCATCCATCCATCCATCCAAACATATAGTCACTACTACCAATCAATATAGTGGAAGCCAAAATGCAAAAGGCCGTGGGGGGGGGTGTGTTGTAGTAGACATGTCCATGTTTTATATGAAATCTGTGGTGTACACATACTAGTTGTTTCCTTTTCCTGATCACACAGGTGTAACACAGCACCAATGGTCAGAGGATTCCTCGATGTTATTCAGAAATCATGTAGAGAATCGCGCACTGGTCGCAGTGGTGGACAGTGTGCAAGATGTGTCGGAGGTCAAAGGTGAGCCTTGGGAGCGCAGGTTGACAGTTTACCTAGTGGACACCACAGTGGATAATCAGGACCTTTGGATCCACACAGTTATCACTGCGATTGATGTCGAGCTGTCTTGAACTTCCTAGAATGGAAACACAAGCATGGGGATAAATGTCCTCTGTTCTGTTTCAGTGTTCATTATTCTGTACGAAGACTTTTGAGATTTGGTAGGGTCACAGTCTTGAAGTTAATAAAAATTTCCTGCATTTTTCTTTTGGTTCTAGTTAAGCCATATGTGTTCTTTATTGCATGTTTTGCTTTTTCTTTAAGCTAAGCTGACTTTGCAGAGTTTGATATTGCAGTGAATCCAGCTGTTTATTTATATAATATATATTTGAAATGTATACTTATGAAGAAATTGTTGTTGTTGTTTTTTTTGTGGGG